CCCAGGCCCTGGAGCTCAACTGTACCATCTTAAGACGTCACGGGTGAGAAAAGCACTCAGTGAGTTTTCCTCACACATGGCCCCAGGATCGGCCAGCTGTCTGCGTCCTGCAGACCTCGGCCGCATACACTCCGGGTTCAGATGCCCAGGTCAGCCAGGAGGGTCCACGCCGGCTGCACGGGAAACCCACCACGCTGCTCGGCAGGAGGCCCCGACTCTCACCCCCTCTGCCTGTCCCGAGGAAGTCCAGGTTCTGCCTCAACCTCCGGCCTGGCCTCGGGCTGCGTCCTGCACACCCACCTCTGCTCCCCAGGAGTGGAGTGCACGGCTCTGCCTGCAGGTGCTGGCCAGCCCCGTCAGAGATGACATCAACCCAATGACCCCAGTGACTGAGCACAGGCTTCACACCTAAGCCACCTCCTCTGAGCAGAGAGGATCCCTTCCTGAGGGCTGCGGCTCTGCCTTTGGTGTGGACAAAATACTCCTGTGTCCAGAAGAGACGGCCCATTGCTTCAGACATGAGGCCACAAAAAAAAAGGCCTCAGGAGGAGCCCACAGCCTGGACAGGTGACTCTGGGAAGGTGTGTGGTGTCCACAGCTTGTTACCGGCATGGAACAGAACTCTGTCCTGGCTCTACTATACAGCTGTGTGACCTTGGGCAAGGGATTTCCTTGGCTGTGCCTCCAGGTCCCCTGCCTGTTATGAGGATGATACCAACACCCACTTCCTGGGGCTGTGTGAGGACAATGAGTGACCACCCAGGGTCCTGAGAACAGCTCTTACCCAGACAGAGCCATTCCTAACCAACAGGGAAGGGCTCTTGCAGGGGTCCACGGGCCCGTCCAGCCACAGAAAAACTGTTCTGTACCACAGGGGTCCCCGGAAGGAGGCGAATGCCCAGGGGTGACACTAGATGAACTAGACAGTGGGCATGTGGGAGTCGCTGATGGAGGATCAGAATGCGCCCTTCCTAACAGTCCCACCCACTGCTCGCCACCCCCCGGGAGACCTGTCCCCCAGAAGTCTTGGGTACACTGGGTGACAAGGTACACCACCAGCAGTGACATCAGTGGCCAACTTCCTAGGATCCTTCAGCCCTGTTCCTGTGGTCCCGAGCCCCCTGAAGCAGAGGACCCTGCCCCTGGGCAGTGAACCCTGACCTGGGTGGAGGGGCGGGCGGCAGGCTGTTTTACAGTCAGACTCTGCACAGTGAGAAAAATGCCGGACAGTCACTTCTGCGGCTTTTAACCTTATTACTTCCATCTTTTGGTTTTGTTGTCTGTTGGTTAAAGAGAGCAGCTCCCAATGGCCTTGATGGTGACTTGCCACCGGGCCTCGCCAGCTGGGAGAGTGAACTTCCGCTCACCTAAAGCCCAGCCAGAGGCTGATGTGAGGTTATCAACATAAGCCAGAAAAAGGAGCAGCAGCGAGCCGGCTCCTTCATCCAGGAGGGTCATACAGGTCCCCACGGCCGGCCTGGGCACCCGGGGACTGGAGAGGACTGGAGACCCGTCTCTGGTCATCTGCATCTTGTGGCCCCTCATCTGAGTCTCTCCGGAGGTCCCTCCACTCCCCCCCTCATGGGCTAAGCCTGGCACCGGGGAGAGTGAGGAACCCGGGTGGCCATGTGCGGTGCCCACGCAGCGACACCGAGGCTCACGCTCCTCCTGGCAGTTTCTCTCCGCGCACACGGGAGGACGGATGGGACCCGTCTTTCCAAAAGCAGGTGAACTTGAAGGATCGTCAGAAACAAACATGGGAAGGAATTAAAGGAGGCGCATTATTTTGATTTTTGGAAAAAAATCTTCCCGACTCTTCCTGAAGATTTGTTCTGGAAGCTTTAAATGGGGCGACTCGATGAAGCGGTCACATGCTGATGGGCAGTTTGGGGGTCACAGTGGGGATCCCAGCTAAGACGAGGGATCACTTGGAAGGTGGCCTGGCACGGGGTGTCGGAGCCCAGGAGGGTTGAGGACGGCATGTCCGAGGGAGGGCAGCCCGGCACAGGATGCAGGGAGGGTGTCCAGGCAGAGGGGCCAGAGGACAGGCCGGAGCCCAGGCAGGGTGAGAGGGGAGGGGGGAACACACAGGCAGGACCCTGTAGAGGGGGTGTGGGTGTAGGAGGTGGCCCAGGACACACAGGAAGGGGTGGTGGCAGCGACACAGGGGGAGGTGACTGACCCAGTGAATACGAGGTCACGGAAGCAAATTTCTTCTCTCAGAGAGAAGTGCCATAAATTTGAAAAGGGAGAAGAATGGAAACGTATCCCTTAGCATTTCCTGGAGTTGGGAGGAGAAGGTTCCACAGGGCACCTGTAAATATGTCTGTGCCTCTACATTTCCTAGCTGTGTCCAGCGAGAGGCCAGGAACAGTGACCGTCCAAGAGAAGCAACACAGCTGCCTCCGCACGTTGATTTCTAAACACTTCGCAGAAAGTCGTCAGTGAAACGGCGGATCCCCGGGCGGGGGCAGAGAAGGCACAACGTGATCCTGAATATCGCTAAAGAGTAAAGAAGTACCCAAAAAACGATGGGCACATGTCCGAAGACCCGGAGCCACCTCATGCAGGGCAAAGACAAGTCCTCCCACCTTTTTTTTTTTTTTTTCAGTACTGGGGACGGAACCCAGGAAGTTGTACCGACTCTCCTCCACGGAGCTACCTCCTCACCCTTTTTACATTGAGACAAGGTCTCCCTGAGTTGTCCAAGCTGACCTTGAACTTGTAATCCTCTTGCCTTAGCCTCCCAAGTAGCTGGGATGACAGGCGTGTGCCATGCCTCCATCTGGGGTTTTCTATTTAACAACAACAAAAAAATCTTTGGGATTTTGATAGGTATTGAGCGGAACCTAAATTTTTTGGTGTAGTAACAGCTGACCCTCTGAATCGGTAGGTTCTGCATCCGCAGAATCAACCAACCATAGACTAAAAATATAGTTAGGTCTATGACAGTTGTGTTTATAAAAACATCTACAAACATCTTCATTATTCCCTCCACGATACAGCGTAACAACTACTTACACAGCCTTGCATTGATAAGTCATCATCAGGAATCTGGAGGTGACTTTAAGTACTCAGGAGGATGTGCGCAGGCTCTGCCTTTCAGGTAAGAACACCCACAGAGTTTGGGATCCATGGGGATCCGGGAACCCATTCCCTACAGACACCAAGGAGATCATATTGAGGTTTCATAGTTCTCAGTGTGCAAGTGAAAAAGGAGTGCTAAAACAAGCCATGATCATGAGCCCACTGGATATCCTTGACCAGGATTTCTTCTACCTTTCAACGTCCGTGATTCTCCAATATTTAATGTAGCCTTGAAGCTGACTAAATCTATTGAGCTTTTGGCTAGAAAAGTACAATAGATTCAATCAAACATTCATTTATTGAAACCTTTTGATGTTTCAGGCTGTTAAAAAACACATTTCATTTCACTGTAACAGGAACATTCTCCCTTGAGTTGCCCCTTCAACAAATCACTTTTCTCAAACGATTTTACTTCTGGGTGGAACTCGGTGCTGGACACTCGATAACTGATTTTAGTCTGAAGACCAGAGAATCGGCTCGTTTGACTAACTTCCAAATGCCACTTGGTTTTCTTATTTTTCTATTCTTCTTTATATAGAACAATTTAAATAGTGCACGTGACTACACAGACCCCAAAAGAATTTGGTCACTGTATCTGAGATCATAAATTTCAGATTAAGTCTCCAACTTACGACGTAACCTCCCTCTGCTCCTGATTCTGTCTCTTGGTCACAGCACGGCATCGTTAATCACCGACAGCCAGGGCACAGAGTCCATCCATTCCACAAACACAGGTGTTACTCTGCCCTGGGAGCTCAACCACATGCTGAGTGTCCCTGATCCAGCAGAGATGTCTTGAGATACCCCATTAAAATGAGGAAAACACTCAAATAAAATGGCCTGTGGAGAGCAGGTCAGTGGAAGTCATTCTTTATCCACAGAGACTCTCTTCCAGTACCGTTTACTGAACCCACGCAGACACCCAGACCTAAGGCTCACCTTGTAAGAACTTATATTACATTCTGAAAACTCGTCATGCTCCAATCAGAAGCAAGTCCAATTTTCCCTTCTTTTACGAAAGGGAAAAACACAACAAAGAAGAAATGCCATCACGCTGGGAAAAACCCAAACCCAAGAAAAATGAAGCACTAACCCGCAGCCGTCCTGACGGACCTGCTGATTCGCTCGATTTATTTTCTTTGGGTTAATAGTTCTCCCCTCACGTGCATTCTGTTTTTAAGAAACAATGATGAAAACAGAGCTCAAATTCAGCAAATTTACCTTTATATGGTGATGGCACCCGTGTTATTTGGTCTAGTGCCATTTGGAAGGATGTGAAAGCTGGTTTCAACGATAAGATGGCCATAAAGACAAAAAAATCTTTTCAAGTCAGGAAAAAAGTTCTTTTAAAGATAAATTGTTTAATTGCAATCAGGATGGATTTGTCTGAAATCCATCAGAAGTGTCCACTCCTGAGTTCTGCACATGTGTGGATCACCTGCATAAACAGGTGATTCCAGAGCTGGGCCTGGTGGCACGCACCTGTAGTCCCAGCTGCTGGGGAGGCTGAGGCAGGAGGAGCCCAAGTTCCAGGCCAGCCTCAGCCACTTAGTGAGACTCTGCCTTAAAATCATAAAAAGGGCTGGGGATGTAGCTCAGGGTAGAGCCCTTGAGCAGCAGGTGTGAGGCCCTGGGTTAAATCTCCAGCACTGTAGACAAAACACTGGTGATTCCAGGAGAAAAATAAAGCCAAATAGGACACTGATATTGTAACCATTTGATTTTGCCCACATTTTATGTCTAATTGATGATCTGTGTGCGTGCGTGCGTGTGTGTGTGTGTGTGTGTGTATTTTACAATTTCAGACATTACTGATAAAATGATTGTCTAAGAGTCACCTTGACTAGGAATTATCTACAAGGTGAAGTCTGCTGAGTTGCTGCTGCTACTAAAACTACTTCTGAGATGATTTTTGGTATGAATTTGGGTTAGATACAACCCCCAGGTTATTTAAAAAAATGAAAACCAACAAGGACTCACCCCTTTGGCAAGTTAAAACTCCTTAGGTTGTGGTTAGAAAAGGTTGAAACAGGCTTAAGATTGTGAGGTTTCCTGGGCTGGGGCTCAGAGGTAGAGCGCTCTTCTAGCATGCATGAGGCACTGGGTTCCATCCTCAGTACCACATAAAAATAAAATAAAGATATTGTATCAATCAACAAATACATGAAAAAATGCTCACCATCTCTAGCAGTCAGAGAAATGCAAATCAAAACTACCCTAAGACACCATCTCACTCCAGTAAGATTGGCAGCCATTATGAAGTCAAACAATAACAAGTGCTGGCGAGGATGTGGGGAAAAGGGTACTCTTGTACATTGCTGGTGGGACTGCAAATTGGTTCGGCCAATTTGGAAAGCAGTATGGAGATTCCTGGGAAAGCTAGGAATGGAACCATCACTTGACCCAGTTATTGCCCTTCTTGGTCTATTCCCTGAAGACCTTAAAAGAGCGTACTACAGGGATACTGCCACATCGATGTTCACAGCAGCACAATTCACAATAGCTAGACTGTGGAACCAACCCAGATGCCCTTCAATGAATGAATGGATTAAAAAATGTGGCATTTATACACCATTTATATGCAGCACTAAAAAATGACAAAATCATGGAATTTGCAGGGAAATGGATGGCACTAGAGCAGATTATGCTTAGTGAAGCTAGCCAATCCCTAAAAAACAAATACCAAATGTCTTCTTTGATATAATGAGAGCAACTAAGAATAGAGCAGGGAGGAAGAGCAGGAAGAAAAGATTGACATTAAACAGAGGCACGAGATGGGAGGGAAAGAGAGAGAAAAGGGGAATTGCATGGAAATGGAAAGAGACCCTCATTGTTATAAAAAACTATATAAAAGAGGTTGTGAGGGGAATTGGAAGAAAAAACAAGGAGAGAAATGAATTACAGTAGATGGGATAGAAAGAGAAGATGGGGGGAGGGGGATAGTAGAGGATAGGAAAGGTAGCAGAATACAACAGTCACTAGTTTGGCACTATGTAAAAATGTGAATGTGTAACCGATGTGATTCTGCAATCTGTATTTGGGGTAAAAATGGGAGTTCATAACTCACTTGAAACTAATGTTTGAAATATGATATGTCAAGAGCTTTGTAAGGTTTTGAACAACCAATAAAAAAAATAAAGATATTGTGTCCACCTAAAACTAAAAAATAAATATTAAAAAAAAAGATTGTGAGGTTTCTTGCAAGAATTCTTGTGAGTATAAATTTGGGATAAACTGGTTTGAAGAACTTCTCAGATACCAGAGTTTTTGCAAGTTCAAGTTCCTCTTGTGAAACAGGGAAGTATTTGCATATAAGCCACAGCCCCCCATCTACTTTGAATCCTCTCTAGATTACTTAAAATTCCTAACACAATGCAAATGCTATGTAAATAGTTGTCACAGAGCGCTGCTTAGGGGCGGTGACAAGGAAGAAGGTCTGCACAGCACACATTCACGGGAGCCATTTGGGGGACTATTTTCAATCACCCTCAGAGTGACATGAAGGGCTGGAGATGATACATGTGGTTTCTCACATCAATCAGCAAGATTTACTTGTTTATAATATAAAAATTTTAGAGCTCTTAAAAAGATGAGAAAACTAGGAAAGACAATTTCAAAATTTCCAAATTGTGACTGAACCCAGGCACGCCTCTAATCCCAGCGGCTGGGAGGCTGAGGCAGGACGATGATCATGAGTTCAAACCCAGTCTCAGCAATTTAGTGAGGCCCTCAGCAACTCAGTGAGACCTGGTCTCTACCAAAAAGGCTGGGGCTGTGGCTTGGTGGCTAAGTGCCCCTGGGTTCAATCCTGGTACAAAAAAAAAAAAAAGGAAATAGCATTTATAAATTAAAATGACCCCCAAAGACACAAAATTCATGACAGCGCTCCACCACAGGGAGGGGTGTCATCTGTAGGCAGGTTTACATGGAAAACCTGTCTCCTCCTATCACTCCACCTCCACTGTCAGCTGACCTTCCCGCATAGCTTGGTCCTCTGCTGGGAGCCTGCAGGGAACACACCCGTGGGAAGGCAAGCTCCTGCACTGACCCACACTCGGTCGATGGCACCACCAGCCCAACTTCTGCCAACCACAAAGGATGGCCTTCTGCTTTCTAGCGTGGCCCAACCTCCTGACACAGCTCTCTTGCTCATTCTGTTCCCTCTGGCCCCAATTCCCTTCTTTTCCAGCTAAAATCGACGCCCATAGCTCCTCACTGATGTCTGGAGATCTTGGATTTCACCTGGTGTGATCCTGTCTCCTTGGAGAGCGCTTCCCAGAGTGCTAGCATTCCACCTTACATCACCAAGGATGGCCATCCCTGGGACGTGGAAGCTGTGTGTTCATGCTCTATCCACGAAGCAAGCGGCACAGTGCCTCATGCACTGTACGTGCTCAGGTGTGGACTGAGTTAAACTGACTGGTTCCACTCCAGGAAGAAAGCAGTTTGAGTGCATAGACAGAAAGAAGGGGCAATGAGGTATTTTTCTGAAGAAGGTCAGAACACGGGAAATGCAGAACAGCGGCAGAAATCCATTACTTCTGTGGGATTAAGACCTACGGCTTATTTAGTGAGGTGTTATGGTGCACACCTGTAATCCCAGCAACTTGAGGGTGAGGCAGGAGGATCCTAAGTTTGAGGCCAGTCTCAGTAAATTAGAGACACCCTATCTCAATAAAAAAAAAGGGGGGGTGGGGTGGGGCTGTGGCTCAGTGGTAAAGCACCTCTGAGTGTAATCCCCAGTACAAAAGATTTAAAAAAAAAAATCTATGGGCTTTTGAGGTTATGATGGAAAAATACACACACACTCCCACATATAACCTCTTTCTAGGTAAATAATAAATGAACTAAAGGAGAGTACCCTTTAAAGAAACAAACTGAGTACAGGCGTGGTGGTACACACCTGTAATCCCAGCGCTCAGGAGGCTGAGGCAGGAGGATCACAAGTTCAAAGCCAGCCTCAGAAATGGCAAGGCCCTAAGCAACTCAATGAGATCCTGTCTCTAAATAAAACATCAAAAAATAAGTATGGGGATGTGGCTCAATGTCCCTGAGTTCAATCCCCAGTACTCCCCCGCAAAAAAAAAAAAAAAATCATTTTTCCCCATATGAGTTGTCAAAAGTAATAACAAAAAAAAAATGTTTAACAATGATGCTACAAGGAAATCCTAAGTAGTTCTAATTGGCTGTATGTAACTAGCCCCAGGAAAAAGTAGAATTCCTTTTTTTGTGAGTACTCCCCTGGAATAGGAAGACAAGATGAAAATCTTGAGCTTTTCCTTAATTACAGTCTCCAAAAAAGAAAGAATAAACAAATGAGTATATTGAATAAGACTTATTTGAAGTCCACAAGAGCTAATGCTTCTCACAATATTTGGGGGAAAGGACTGGTTTTTAAATATTTCCTATCTATCTGGTGCAAACTGTACTCCTCTATAATACAACACGAAGGCCTAAGGCCTGACATGCTTTCTGTACTGAATTTGTCTCACATCAATAACATGTGCTTCCCCCAAACCCATGTTCTCCAGGCCAGAAGTTCAGGGTGGGTAGGATGCTGCCTACCTTCTGCTCCTGGACTTCAAACACGGCTTCGTGGACACTGCAAGCAAAAAGTGAGGTAGGCAGGTCACTTAGATCCATCATCTCTTCCAAGTCATCTTCATTTTCACCAAAGACCATCTCTTCCTCCTCTTCCTGGTCACTGCTGCAGAGGTCTGATTGGCTGTCATTCCAAGATTTCATAGTGTCCCTTAGCATCATCCCCTAAAAGCAGGTCTTTTCCGTTTTTCAAGTTCTTAGGATATCAATAGGGCACCTACAGGTAAAAAGAAGAAAACACCGAGGTAAAACTGAGTGCCATGTAAGGTTCCAATCAACTGGTCTCAAGACAGCAGTTCATCAGGTGTAGCCATTCTACCCGGGAAAGAGCCATCAGTCTTCAAACCAACGTGTGCCAGCCCTCACAGGTGAATTCTATGTGTACTGGTTTGATTTGCTTAGCATGTTTCACAGGGCAATGAGGATCTCGAAAAAAACGAGTTTTCCCATGACATTGGGAGAAGGAGGATCATACCAACATGTTCCCTGGCTGACAAGCAGCGGGAAGAAAAAAAATGTGAACGAGCACTGCCTGCACATATTTGTTTTGTATTTTAGCTCTAAAACATTGAAAGAGGCACAGCAGAATCAAACCCACGCAGAGCCGCTCGCCATCTGTGCCCTGAAGTACGGTCTGATGCGCTGCTTCGCCTCAACGGGGTTGTTTTTTGAGGTATTCTCTCAAGACCTCAGTTACTCAGAACCAAAAGTCCTCTAGGAAGTCAGTCTCTGTAAATATGTCTTGGAAATATTTACGGTGGCAAAGTTTAACATAAAAGACAATCGAAAAGACGTCCTTTTTCTGAACTTTTATTAAACATCACGAATTTAAGTTAAAGACCTGGAGCCGACAGGGTCCCTCTGTTACACACCAGAGCAGAAGCTGTTTGTGCTGTCCGTGTGTGTTACATAGGTCCCCCCAACACCCCGTATTCCAAGATCAACACACCACTTAAGAATGAGTGCCTGAGGCACAGGAACACTAAGTGATCATGGCTAAGGCCACCTCAACAGCTCCTGAGATTTTTCTCTTTTATTTGCAGAATGATCATCATAGGATAAAATAGGGGTGTTTCCCCCCATTATTCTGATATTAATCAAGACTAATTCTAAAACATAAAATCGTCACTCATTCTCTGCTGCTTGGTACTGGGGGACACTCGATGAATGGGACATGGTTCTTATCCTCATGGAGCCCCGGCCCAAGCAAGAATGTCCCTTCCTGGGAGCCAGTCATCCTCAGGGGTCCTCCTACAGCACCCCGTCCCCTGACCTGTCTGTTCAAGTCTTCCTCCTCCTCATCCTCCTCCTCCTCCTCCTCAGCAGACACAGGTGCTCAACATCCCCACCTCCGGACTCTCTCCCCCCCTTCTACCCGTCTGCCCTTCGCCTTTCCTACCAACTTCCTGGAAAGAGCTGTCCCTATTCGCTTTCTTCACTCCCTGCCACCTGTCGCGCCCCAGTTCCGTGCGGTTGGGCATCACTATCTTTTAGCTCCCACTGTCCTCATTACGGACAGCAGCAAGTTCTAAGAGGACGAGGATTTCAGGTCTCAGCTTGTGTCTGCCGCACACGACCTGGCTGCCCTCCCTGTCCACTCCTCACCCACCGCTGTCCACACTGCGGCACTGGCCCCTCCTCCGCCCTTCACACCTGACCTGCTCGGGCCCCGCCCACTCCCCCTGCTCCTCCTCGTCTTCCCGGGTGGTCTGTCCACGAGGGAGGTTCACCCACCAGCCTTCTCAGCCGAGTTTCCCTGTGGTCCGCGGACTGCCCCGGCGCTGTCTCTCATTTCACCTGACTCTTGAGTCAGGAAGGGCAGCACCATGCCTCTTTTTCCCCAAATGAACGAAGGCTTTCCTGCCCATTTCCTTCCATTATGCCACACCCATTGGTGCTCTTCTCCTTGACCGACCCCCTCTCTCGGGCATGTGCAGGCAAGGCCCTGCCCTTGTTCCAAGGGCTCATTGCTGCTGTATGATTCTCTGGCCCCAAGTCTCCTCTTCAGCTGATGTGTTCTCTGATTCTCATTGAGACCCTTCTCTATGGGCTTCCCATGTAGGAGAGGATATTTCCCATTTCCGCTTTCCGTGTTTGTCACACCTCCTCTGAGCTCCTTTCTCCCAAATATTCCATATTTTCACGTTGGAGAGTCAGGATCATGCAGTGGTCATAGACAGGACCAAGGCTGTGGGAGAAGCAAGGGCAGAATCCTGCTTGCCCCACCAGGGCACGGGGTGAACAGGGTAGAAAAAGTTGCAAGAGACTCTGAGCTGCTCCTCGGCCCCTCTTGGCTCTACGCACTGGAAACTTCCAAATGTTGTGCCCAGACTCAGGCCCTTCTCCTGAGTTCTAGGCTTGTATGTTTGGCTTTCCACTGAACAGATATCTATCTGGGAAGCTCGCAGGTCCTACAATTGTTTTGCACTTATTCCTTTAATTAGATTATGGCGCCAGAAATCTCTAGTCTCAGGGGGCCCCAGGAAGGTGGTGGGAAACGCTATCACACTGTGGTTTCCTTATCATCTTTAAGGCCAAGATGTCACGTAGAGTCCCTCACGTCTCTGCTCTATATTATGATCATTTATTTGCAAATCACCCCTGCCTTCAGACTGTGAGTGCCTTTGAATCCCCAGCCCTGGCATGGTTTGCAGCCCACCGTGGCTTAACAAGGACTCCTCAGTAGAAGCAGAGAGCCTCGTGACGACCCCACGGGCATGTCAGCACAGACAAAGGGAAATTTAATTCTGCATGGGATTAGAGACAGGCTCTCAGAGGACGCTGTGGTGAGACTTTCGGGTTGAACAGAGCTTCCGCAGGAAAAGAACGGGGTGTGTTCCGCGCCACGCCAACAATGCGTGAGCGCAGCCAGGGAAACAAAAAGATGAGCACGCACACAGGTCACATGCTCTCAAGTGGGTGCGGTGCATGGGGTGGAGGGGGTGGCGGGAGACAAAGCCAGACAGGCAGGTGTGAGCTGGGCTACAGAGCTCCACACAAAACCAGTCCCATCAGCACACCATGGCAGTGACAAAACCAACCCAATTTAACTTCCAGTGACACTGTTTTTATCTGCTCCTCTCCCAACCCATTATGAAGAGGCAAAGAAAATACCATGTCTAGATTTTTAAGACGGTGATAAGTTGGAGGGGGGGGGTTCTGGATGGAGAGATTTTGAGAAAGTGAGTGTGCCTGCTAAGCACACACTACCACTGAGCCCCCCCAGCCCCCAGCCTATGTTTGATAAGACTTTTTTGTTTGCTTCAAGTTCCCTCCTCCAACCTTAAAAAGAAGAAATAGAGCACAGGAAACAATTCTTCACCTAACATAAAAACACACACACAAATCTTAGAATGATATACCTTCATTTCCTGTTTTCTACCTTCAATTTTGAGTTAACTTGGTTCTTTTGCTTCGAACTTCAAACAGAAGTTATAAGAACTGTACAAGGAACTCCTGAATATCCTGTACCCAGAATTACCAATTTTGCCCATTTGCCTTATCATTCTTTGTCTCTCTTTTAAAAAATTTTTTTTTCATGTATTTTGGTCATATATTACAGATTGAACCCAGGGTACTCTACCACTGAGCTACATCCCCAGTTCTTTTAATTTTTGAGACAGGTTTTCACTAAGTTGCTTATGTTGGTCTTGAATTTGTGATCTTCCTACCTTAGCCTCCTGAGTTATTGGGATTAAAGGTGTATGCCACCATGCCCAGCTTTTTCTCTATTTTTATACACATGCTCTGAACCATTGAAAATAAGATGAAGTATATACCCTTTTCCTCCCAAGTGACTTCAATGTATAAGAACAAGATCATTCTCTTATATAACCTAAAGTATCAAAAACATCAATATAATCCTATCTAATTAACAATCCATATTCATTCTTTTTTTTAAAGTACTGGGGATTGAATTTACGGGCACTCAACCACTGAACCTTATCCCCAGCCCTATTTTGTATTTTATTTAGAGACAGGGTCTCACTGAGTTGCTTAGCAACTTGATTTTGCTGAGGTTGGCTTCGAACTTGTGATCCTTCTGCCTCAACCTCCCAAGCCACTGGGATTACAGGTGTGAGCCACTTCGCCCAGCTCATAATTCAAATTTTGTCAGTTATCCCAACATTGTCCCTTCAAAGTTTTTAGATTACTATTAATTTATTTGCATTTATACCAAAACATTTCAGTAATATTTATAGTATTGCTACATTTTGTTCACTCACAAATTCTAACATACTTAAAAAGGACAGACTACTAAGAAGCCACAGTAACTATAAGACAAGTCTGAGCAGTCCTTAAGTACACCCCAGAAAGATTCAGGCTCCATAATCAGCCTTCCTAGGATTGGATTCTGGCTCCTTAAGTACTCTATGTTAGATGAACTCTTTTGCTTATTTCTTCAACTATAAAATGGAGATAGTAATCCTCACCCAGTAAGAATAATTAAGGAGATAATAATAATTAAGTAAGGAGAATTAAATGAGAGAATACATGTTCATATCCAGAATAATACTTTGCATATAGTCTGTGCTCACTAATTAATTAACATAAGCATGATCTGAGTTAATGCACTGTTGGGCTGAAAGGACCCCAATAGTATCAGAACCACTGGTGGAACTGATATTCAAATAATGAAAAAAACAAAAAGAAGAAAAACACATATCTCCAAATGATCTAATTCCAAACATGAAAAATAAATTAAAAATAAAGCAACAAAAATAAAACTAAGTTTGTATCACCAACAAAACTGTCTACTAGCAGACTTATCAACAATGTGAGCTCCAAACTACCACTGGAGATAGTAATCTGATTCCAGAATGAAAACATTTGAAGATTTAAAAAACAGAGCTAGGGAAAAGGCCACAGTGCCTTTTTAGGGGCCTCACAGAATTTTAGGTCACCATACAATGCATACAATATCAGAGACATTATCATTCAGATTTTGGTTCTCTTGCTAAAGACAAACCAGGAGGGTTTTTTCAACATTGTCAACCATTACATAATTTTCTAACATCAGAAAATTACATGTGAAAAAGACAGTAATATGGAGGGAGGTCATTTAAGGTAACTCAGCTGCTTGTATAAAAGGTAAACTATGTTTCACTAGGACAAAGAAAAAACCGCAGAAGCCCATTGGTTCTTTGAGGCTGTTACTGGAGTTTCTGCCAACTCTGCCCGACTCTATTGCAAGACCATGCTCTCCCTCGGTTCACTAACTCAGGGAAATCTCGACCCACCCAGCAGAAATGCTAAACCCACATCCTCCTGCTTCGGTAAGCAAAGGTCCGAGCTAATCAGGGTTTAGCATCATCTCCAGCGCAACTGTAGCTGGGGCTGGCTTCTGGCAAATTGTTTCTTCATGGAAACATCAAATGAGTGGAAAAACTCCAAGGAGCAGGACCATCTGCTGCACTATGACAGGCCCTGTGACAAAAGTAATCCATCAAAGCAAAATGTCACGCACACGGAGTTGATCTTGCATTTTCTGCTCCGATAAGAAAAAGGTAAATTCCCCTTGGGGCTTTTGAACAAATAATTTTTTGAAAATAATATGCTTCCAATTTGGGGAACATTTTAATACCTTAGCCAGATGCACTTTTTAATGTTTTGGGTATGTTCAAAATGCTACAACAGTCCTGGAAGCAAATGTGTACCTCATTTGAATTTATAATTTAAATTTTTTAAAAGGCCACTCAGGACTGACAATGTGGAGGTTCTGAATGTCTACCCTGAAGCCTCTAACTTCTCTTTCTTCTCATTTCCCGCTTACAGGTAAAATGTTACCATTTTCAGTAGCTGAGATTAAAAAAAAAAAAATTGGTGCAATAGTAAAGCAAGTGAAAATTATGGGCTGGGGATGTAACTCAGCATTAGAGTACTTTCCTATCACTTGAGAGTATCCATCCCCAGCACTGCAAAAGGAAAAAAAAAAGATGAAAATTAGATTTTTATATTTTGTGTGTGTTTATGACCTATGCTATTTTTGCTGCATTGGTCCTGTTACAATTGAGGTTCCTGCTGCACCAGAAATAGTAGTATTTGTTAGCATGAGAGAGAAAACAGAAATAAACAACAAATATAAACTGTCGCGAATATAATAACAGGCCTTAAAGAATAATTGAAGTACAGTCATGAAAGTCTCATGTTATTTGTTTTGCTGTATATAATTTACTTCTACTCAATATAATCTCTACCTTCCAGGAGCAAAGTGGAAATCCCTGACCAGCCTCTACCTTCCATGGTATCTAGGGCAGGGGCCCAAGAAACAAACACCACTGATTGCCCGGGCTGCCATTATTTCACAAGCTTCAGCTGAACACATTTCTAAGTCACATTACTCTTCACCAAGGTTTGGTTTTCCTTTAGACCAGCAACTCCTATAACATCAGACAGAATCTCATTTCTTACCCTAATGTTCATGTTTTAAAGCTTTACAAGTGTTACATTTCAACAGCAGGAAAAATCCTATTTCCCATAAAAGCACAGAAATCTCTACCCAAGGAAACCGTTTGCCAATGAAATGAAATGTAAAGCTGATGATATGGGTAATGGTACTCTGAGTTTCCCAGCTTTTTTCAGTCTTCCTGCATCCAAAGCCCATTTCTAAAATAAACTACATAAACTCTCCAACAAAAGAATGAATTTGTGCGATGCATAAACATCTAGACCCCGAGTCTTCATAGTATGTTTTTACAGTTTAATATATTGAACTAGAGCTAATGAGATAGTCTTAAGGTATTTTAAGTAGTACATCAGAGACTTCTATTAAATGCAGACTTCCATGCAAAATTCAAACAATGTGTTGTACTGGGTAGCTTTCGATGAGGGAAATTGAGTATTCTTGGCTTTGAGCCCTATACCAAAACATCACTTTAATCCTAGAGTGTCTCTGAAACACTGTGAACTGCTCCCTACTCTAGAATCCTAATCTCTAAAGGAGATGATCAGATTTTGCACGAAAGCTGGAACGAAGCGACCTGGAACAGGTCACTATTGATTGCTCTACCTGTGCAGGCAGTGGATGGGGCAGGTAACAGGTTGCAAGAAGTCACATTCTTGTATAATAAATGCATTCAGCGGTTATCCACGCACCGCGGGGAAGGGGCCCTGGAGGAACAGGGGGGCTTCCACCTTCTGGCCTGGGTTTACCAACTGCACCTCTCCTCCCTCTAGGGGAAGAGAGGGCCTGCCAGCTTTTCGAAAAGTCAGTTTGTGGGAGAAAACTGCAGGTGGAAGGGAGAAAGCTTGATGGTGGGGGGGGGCGGGGACAACCAGGAACACCCCCCCACCGCCAGAGAAGACCCTGGGCGCGAGAGGGCTGGACTGGGGTCCTGGCCGCAGCGCCTCGGG